GCTAACTGCTGGTTCCCATGGGTAAAGTCTTTTTACAAGCAAAATGAGAAATAGTGATTGACTGGTTAAAAAATAATTGGAATACTAATAATAATAATGATTGAGAAAAACAATGAAAAGATATTGAATGCTGAAGTGGGGATTTTAATGTCTCTGTATTGACTGACGTGCATGGCACTCCCTTTTGAAAGAGCAATGTAATACACTGTAAAGTTACATGAAATTCAATGTAGTATAAACAAGATTCTGATGATAAATAAATAAATTATTAAATTATGTTTGAATTTGGGACCAGCAGTTGGCATGGTGGTTAAGGCACTGGACTACCATATGGCCAACTGTGTTTCAAGTCCCAGACCTGGCAGTGCTTTTTTGCTTTCTCTCTTTCTCTCTCTTTGGTGAGTGCATGTATCCCACAGCAAATTTGAAGATAATAACAATAAATGAAATTAAATAAAGAAATAATTCTTTAAAAATTTTTTGAATTATGCTTGAATTCACCAGTTAATGTTTCATGCATTAAAAAATCTTTATAGTTATTCAAATACTTATATACTCTAATCTATTATTATTAGGTTTAGAACAATAAAGCCACTTCTGGCTAAAATTTTCAGGTTAATCAAAGCTATAGATTCATTCCTAAGTGTACTTCTGTCATCTTTAATCTCTTTCCACTTAATATATTAGGTGTTCTCTTTCATTCCTGCCAAGTATCTAAATAAACTGTACTATCTACTAAACAGATCTTTAAATATCTCCCATATGCTATAGGTTTTCCAAGAGCATTTGGGATTAAATCTTATGCCTTAGTCTATCATAGTCTTCCCACTGATCCCCAAACTGCTACCTAAGCTTCAATTCTTTTTTTTTCTATTTCTATTTTTCTTTATTCGGAGGGTAAGATAAATTAAAAAACCAATGGACAGACAAAATTATACTATACTACTTGATAATTGGTACGTTCAATGGAAATGTGTGAATATAAGTGAAGAAAGGCAAGAAATGCAATCTTGTTATAGTCAGATATCTGAAGTCATCTTCCATATACTGCCCTCTCTACCCTCACAATTTCTTTTTTTTAATTTTTATTTTTATTATCATCATTATCTTCTTTATATTATATTGGATTACATAAGCTTCAATTCTTAAGAGTCACCTCTATTTACTATAAATATGTATCAGCTGTATCTCTGTTATAAATGGGACTAGAACAAACAGCTATGGAAAGTACCCAGTGATTTTACCACCACCATCTGTCAGGCAGGTGCATCAGAAATCTGAAACAGCTGCAATAAGTCTTGCACTTGGCAATCCAACTTGAAAGATGTTCTTGGTTGGGACCAGCAGTTAGCGTAATGGCTATGTCGCTAGACTCCCACGTAGTCGACCGTGGTTCGCATCCCGGACCCGGTGGCTTAAAACTCATGCTGGGCACATGTGCGTGCGTGCCCAAGATCCCGAGAGGAGACTGGAGGAGAGGGGAATGCAGCGTGGCCATCCCCCCTGGGGGGTGATTTCTCGCTTTCTGTCTCTTTGTCTCTCTCTGTCTGTCTGGCGAGCACACGCGCCCTATAGCAAAAACCTCTCCAAAACAAAAAAAAGAAAGATATTTTCGACAAGAAAATAGAGAGGTAAGACACTCGTGGGACACAGATATGGCTTATTATCTGTTGACAAGGATGTGTATAGTATTCTCAGCTGGCCTGGACTTATCATGCTTGGTAAGTCTCTTTACAATCTAAATGATGTATACCAATTGAATGTATGAATAATAATCATTAGTATATAAATAAATCAATTTTTAAAAAGAAGTTAACACAAATCCAGAACAAAATCATAACTGTTATCATTTAATTTTTTTAACTTTATTTACTTATTTCTTCCATGAGAGAGAGAGAGAGAAACACAGAGTCACCCTCCATAAGGTCTTTGCAAGTGAGCCACACGCCTCAGGCAGCCCCAATCATAGGCATGCACACGAGTGAGATCCCCAGATGTAAACCCAGGACCTTTCTCATGTGGGTTCAGTTATGTTAATGCTATACTCCATCATTTAATTTTTAATTATTCATTAAGCATTTGAGTGCAATATACAAAGTACACACACATATAGAAAACTTCAAGAGACATATTTCCCAAATTATTTACAAGTTGCCCAAACTTACCACTATCATTTAATGGGCAGCAATGATGGATCACACATGAGATTATGCATTTCAGAAAAGAATAAAGTAGATTGTGGTAGCCTGTTTAACTGTCATAACTCCATTTTTCCTGAGCCTAGGTTCAACTATTAAATCCAGAAGAAATAATTCAACATTTCCTAGTTTCTTTTTATGACAAATAGATTCTTTCATGAGAGGTACTACAGCTTGAAATTTCTGTTTATTTATGAGTGGTACAAACACTCATGAATCATACCTTTAATTCTACCCATTCAATAAACATTTATTAAATGAGTTTCGATGAAAATTTATTAAGATTCTACCAGAAGTTAAGCACCCTGTCAGATACCTTCTTAACATACTACATCATTTGGTTTACAAGGAAAGATTTCTGCCCTGGAACATAAGTAATATTTACACATCTCAAATTTATTTGAATCAAAGGAACTCTTATGGTAATTTTTTATGATGTAGTACATGAGATGAAAGTTCTGAATTATACTGAAGGTACTCCTTCAGTTCTGAGAACATCCTGATGTCCTAAATTCAATAGAATTCAGTCTACATATGCAGAAGAAAAAAAATAGCTAAAAATAACAACACAATGACTTTTAGCCTTAGAGGTCTGATTAGATTACCATGTGAAATGACTACTATTCAAAATGAGGGCTATAAGCTGGACTAAAATTGGAGGACTCTTTGAACATGGAAAACCACAAACATATTCGAAAGAGCAAAGCGCTGATATGAGGAGTCCCAATGAAACTACAAAACAAAGTCATTTCTAAACTGCTGCTCATAATGTGTCATAAGTATTTCAATGTAAGCCAATCAGAAGACCATTAGGGAACGAATTTAAACAAAAACAGGGAAGATATGTTAAGAATTTTACAAATAGCAGCTGGCTCAAATATATAAAAGGCCCAGTGCAGAAGTCACTGTCAAAACTCAGAAACTCTTCCAAGCAACTCAACCCTCAACCCAACTCCTGCACCATGGCCTGCTGCAACACTAGCTTCTGTGGGTTTCCCATCTGTTCCAATGGCGGGACCTGTGGCT